TTATGTTATGTTTTTATTATCTTGAGTTTTTTCAAAATATTTATGAAAAATTACTGTAATATATTGCAAAAATTGAAAAGGTAAGAATTGTTGATAAAAACCAAGCGTGTATTAATAATCAATTTATGCACCTACTAAACGCTTAAGACTTAACTATTTAGGTACTGTAAAATACTGGGAAAATTAAATATTCTATACTTAAATTGTATCGAAAAATAAATAATAGCTTAATAAAAGAAAAAAGAAACAATAAAAATAACCAAGCTCAGGATCGAACCATCGATCATTTGGTATCGTCCCCAAGACCATTACCGTTCGGCTATCTGTTTCTTAGTAAATGATAAAATTACGGTTACTTCTTTTTCATAAAATCTCAAGTCACAACGATACTTAAAGATGTTTCTACTTCAAAAATATTTCATGATAGATGTTTCTACATTGAAACAAATAAATTACCTTTAGTAAAGGTTTCTTGTTATGTATTAACTAGCAAACCAGTGAACTAGCAAACTAGTAAATCAGGTTTTGGTGAACATTTACCAAAACCTGATTTAAAAAAAAAAGCTATTCAATTAATTGAGAACTTCGGAGATTTTGTATGGTTTCGTTTGAAATTCGTGATTTCTCGAAAACCGGAAGTGCTACGTTACTCAAATCCGGTTTGTAGTCTTATCAGGCTATTCTTAACTTATAACTTAAATATTCTCTTTATCTATCTCTTACGGTTTGGCCGCTGAAACAGCACCACAGACAGACAGACGGACGGACTTGTCTAATAGATAAGAGATAATTAACGTATCAACAACTCCTTATCATTACTCCACGAATAGGCGGCAAGTTCAAATGCTTCCTCAGCAAGCTTACGGACTCTCATCCACTATTCAGAGGCATTTTGTACACACGACCTGGGTAATATACTGCGAAAATGTCTTTTTAGAGGTAGGAACAAAATAAAAAATATTATAAAAAGACAAATGTTTAGTGCTGACTGAGCCCTTTGTGTGCGCCTGTACAATGGCGCTTTGTTTTCGCCGCCCCAATTATTATGAGTATTCGCTGGTATGATAATATGAGCTTGTAGCAATTTTAGTTGCTTTGTTTAGTAGGCAACAGAGCGGGTGTTGAGAGATGAATGTGGGTAAACGAAACGCGGAAGAGTTGCGTTTTATTTCCGCGTTTATCTTCAGAAAGTTAAGCTCAGACCACACTGGGAGCGAAGCGTTATTCGCTTCGCTATATTTGTGCCTCATTCCGCTTTTGTTATCATACTTCGGTGCTTCTTCTTCTTCTTCAAGGGAGTAAAGGGAGAACGGAATATTACCTTCACCGGCCCTATTGTCAACCCCACCTGCACGCGCCGAATGGCGGCGGCAACCATTGGTTGCCGTGATATTCCCTACTAGATAACCAACGGGGCAATGGCGACCGAGAAATGGCGATATAACCATACATACCCGTTGGGACAACATATACGGAAGAGGCGTCAGAAACCTTGGGGCCCAAATTACCCCTAAAAGTTCTGGTGCAGAAGGCAACGGGAAACCACTGCACTTATTTCCCACGAGAGTTATGATGAGGTCAAATAAAAGTACTTCGGTGCACAATGCGAATAAGACAGATAAGCGACGCCTGGACTTTACTTACACTGAACATCAGGTGGGCTGGCCTAATTTGTTGCCCCTCGTATAAAAAATGCTCTTCTGCATCGTGAAAAGCAAAAAGCACCAATCACATAAAATAAGTTTGTTCAAGCACTTAAGAGGGGAGGCGGGCAATGTTTTTTCCATACAAAAGTTCTCGACGTATTCCTCCTTGTTTTTTATCACTAAATAATGGATTTTCATACGTACAATAAAATTTTACTCATTCTATGATCCTACTCGTATGTCTTCCTTTTTTCGATAACATGCATTTCAAAAAATCTAGAAGCCCTGGAAATAGGCCAGGAATAAACACATTTTTATCAGCAATAAAGACATCTAGTACGTAGATTTAATAAGCATTTACAAAAAAAGCAAAACATAGAGGCATAGTATAACTACTTATTAATCTTTCTGTAAAATTTCTTTTACTTATATCTAATTTTCGAGGAGGAAATCGTCGAGAGCCAAACCTAGAATTTCACAATATTTACACGCAATTTTCAGCGACAACTACTGTTGTTTCTATCGCACGGTATTTGCTAATACGTGAGAGCAATAGTTTTTTCAAATACCTATTTCTCAAATGTCTCTCAGCTCGCGTCCACTCTTAACGGTAATAATAACGCGGTTCCTCAGCCTACCGCGCTTCACGCAAATGTTGAAAGGGAATTAAACCGCCTTTTAATTAAACCCGGTACCTACAAAATTAATCTGAGCCCTACAAGCGAGTTTAAAATTGAACCTCAATATTTCATCCTTATACTTGTTTTTATAAGCCCTTAAATTTCAATGGGGCGCTGTATTCAAGGCAGCCAAGATGAACATTGTGACGTTGCCTAATAATTTCGGAATCATCACGTATTTATGCAATATGTCAAACTACAATCCACTTTATAATCACTTATTTGTTTTAAACTAAATTAATTTTATTTTAAACTAACGACCAGCCCGGCTTCGCACTGGTGAGAAATTGAAAATAGTTTTGAGTTGATTGGTATTTAATGAAGAATGTTTGCCCGAATATTAAATAAAAATTCAATCAAATTCTTTTTCATGGGGTTCCATATATGAAAAGGAGACGATTTTTTTAGGACTAAATAAAAGCTCAGTGTTTTATGTATCTATAATATATAAATGAATTGCTGAATGTGTTGCTAAGCGCAAATCTCGAGAGCAGCTGAACTGTTTTCGAAAATTCTTTTTCCAGAATATTGAAGTACGAGGATGGTTCTTACGCAGAGAAAATTACAAAAATTGCCTGAAAAAGTCCAAAAAACAACACTTTCCTATACTCCCATACAAACGATTCGTAATAATACATACAAGTCAATTTGAACTTTAATACCATATCATAAATTTCAAATATTAGTGGAGAGGGTCCAGGAATGCAAAACAATTGAGTGACGTAATGTCAATAGAATGGTATAAACAAATATACAACTTTCAGGTTTTTTTATAATTATATGAAGAGTCATTTTAGTCCACATTACAGCTCTACACCGAAGCGAAGCGAGGGCGGGCCACTAGTTGTCAATAAGAAAGGAATAAGGGACCGTGAAAGTGGTAATGTTTAGATTGTTTAGACTATTTATGATACGGAGTCAATCTCAAAATCTAAAGTAGTTCAAAATTTTGATAAATTATGTCCCACGCTGTATTTAAACAACAAATACAGAAAACGTCTATTCATAATGTACTTTGTAAGTTGTAACGAAAACAAACAAATGGTTTTTCCTTCCGTGATTTGTTGCGCTGTCGAGCTCGGAAACGAACTTATTAGGTAGCTTCAATAACAGGATAAATATTGTAAGAAGCAATGTTGCCTTCGTTTTAAAGGGGACTGATTCATACCGAATCCTTATAGAGCAAGGTCTGACTCGCGCTTGACAAATTTTTTTGGATTCCGTAGTCCTCACAAGGAACCTTTATAGTTTCGTCATGTCCGTCTGTCCGTCCCCGGTTTTGCTTGAAGACTATTAGCACTAGAGAGCTGTAATTTTGTACAGATATGTATATCAATCATGCCGACAAAAAATAGAAAAAAAAATTAAGAGTGGCTCCCGTACATGTAATCTGGGGAAGGTTTTTTTTCATCGTCTACCCTATCGTGTAGGGTATTGCTAAATAGGTCCTTCAAAATTATTCAGGGGTTCCTAAGACTATTTTTCGATTTAGGGATCCGTTTTACAAAATATTGAACTTGAAAGTGAACATTTTTGTTCAAGTAGCCCCCCCTGCCCCCCTTCCAAAAAGGGGAAGTATTGGATTGAAAATCCTTAAAAAAATCATTATAATAGTGCTCTTCATGTACTTTTAAGGAAAATTATAACTGTTAAGCTAGATTTGTTAGTTTAAGTGTCGTAGTCGTTCAACTTTGGTTAAAGAAACTGTCGTACTATAAAAAAATCCTTAAAGGAAAACAATTATAGTGACATAGATGAAATAATGGAAGCATAAAACCTTGCCTTGAAAAACAAAATCTAAAAAAAAATTAAAAACTATCATTCGTTCCACAAAGCTTCTGTGACGCGAGTACCTACGGCAACGGCTTCTGAATCTTTACGTAATATACTAAATTCTACTCTATTTCTCCGAAACGAACTTTCAAACGAAAGTTCAAACGAAATTTAATTTCGTCAATTAAAGGTTATACTTAATTTGAACGATAAACTAGCAAATTGAAACTTTCTTTGAGTAAAAGAGTTTGAGTGGGCTTAGAAAATCTACACCTCCATCTATATTCCGACGACGAATATTATTATAATTAAAAACGGACCAGAAACATAGTAAGAAAAGTGCGAAGTTTCGCACGAAATTTCATTTTTAGTTGAATTAGAGTAGGCCTCCAGGTGACATATTCAAGGACTTAAAAAGATCGGCAACTACAGAACCCTACACTGTGTGTTGCACGACACGCACTTGGCCGGTTTTTTTTTGTTTTTTTTAACGTTTCCCATTTTTAGGAAAGACAAAGGGAACAATGCCCATACAGCTTAGTCTTCAGCTTTTTTTGTTCTTTTTTTTAAATTAGAATATGGGTGTGACGCATTCTAGAGTTGTGTCTTAGAGTTTTAGCACAAAATGTTCCGGCTCAGCTTTTTCGATAAGCTTCTGTGAGGTAGTCAACACTACAATAAAGTTCTTAAATGCACTTGACCGGAATAGCGTATATTTTAAAGATTCACCTAATTCTTCAGTTGTGTAGAAGGTTTAACACAAAATCACACCAATTTTATTTCACAATATCCACTATGAACGAATTTAAGAATAATTAAAATAAGACGCCAACTGCACTCGATGAAATCCCGCCAGAAACGTCTTCCTTTTTGTTTAATAAAAGAGTTTTCATAGTCATAACAAACCTTGGACAAAGGTGGTTGAGCGAAATGTTAAATTTTTGAATTTAAAAAAATGATAGAATGGAATATTTTGAATACGTTCAATTGTTTTGCGCTTGGCTGTCTAGTTGGTCGTGAATGTGAAGCTCATCATTGGATTAAGGACGGAAATATTATAATTCATAATAGTGATATTGTAATTTAGTAAAGCTTAATTATGAGGGAAATAGTGCACATACAAGCGGGGCAATGCGGAAACCAAATTGGTGCTAAGGTAAGCGGTCACTATTTGGTCAATAATTCCTTAATTTGTTTAATCCTATCAGTCTCCATCCAATTCATTATTACATAAATTTCCTTTAGAATCTTTAATATATTCTGTCACTGATGTCAAGTAATAATTCCACTATCAGTGATGGAAGCAAGAAAAAAATGCAATGCTAATTTTTCATTTTCTTGTTACTACCTTGACATAAGTAAAATTGAAATATAACTTCATAATTTTTGTTTCCCATTCAAAGATACACCATTATTCTATACAAGCGACCGCCAGCGATTTCATCCTCGGTTACTTTGGTTTAAAGAATCCTACAGGAACCTAAATTTATCCTAGGATAAAAGTATTCTATGTCTCAAAGCAAGTCATAAACTCTAAGCGTACAAATTTCATCCAAGTCCTTTCAGATGTTTTTGAGTGATTAACTAACATACAAACGCACAAACATACTAAGTTTCACATTTATAACATTAGTAGGATAAGTCGTATTCAAAGATGTTGTTTGTTTTAGTTCTGGGAAGTTATATCGGATGAGCATGGTATAGATCCCACCGGCACGTACCATGGCGACTCTGACCTACAGCTGGAGAGGATCAACGTGTACTACAACGAAGCCACCGGGGGCAAGTACGTGCCTAGAGCTATACTCGTCGACCTCGAGCCGGGCACCATGGACTCCGTGCGCTCGGGTCCGTTCGGACAAATCTTCCGTCCAGACAACTTCGTCTTTGGCCAATCCGGCGCAGGCAACAACTGGGCTAAAGGACACTATACCGAAGGCGCAGAACTAGTCGACTCAGTCCTCGACGTCGTCAGGAAAGAGGCCGAGGGGTGCGACTGCTTGCAAGGATTCCAACTCACACATTCACTCGGCGGAGGCACCGGTGCTGGTTTGGGAACGCTCCTGATTTCGAAGATTCGAGAAGAATACCCCGATCGAATCATGAACACATTCAGCGTTGTGCCGTCCCCCAAAGTGTCTGACACAGTCGTGGAGCCATACAACGCTACGCTGTCAGTGCATCAATTGGTTGAAAACACTGATGAGTCCTATTGCATCGACAACGAGGCGCTATACGATATTTGCTTCCGTACGTTGAAGTTGACTACGCCAACCTATGGCGATCTGAACCATTTAGTCTCCGCAACAATGTCTGGTGTCACCACTTGTCTCCGATTCCCTGGCCAATTAAACGCTGATTTGAGAAAACTAGCTGTGAACATGGTTCCGTTCCCACGCTTGCATTTCTTCATTCCCGGGTTCGCCCCTTTGACATCCCGAGGGAGCCAGCAATATCGCGCCCTTACTGTTCCAGAACTAACTCAGCAAATGTTTGACGCGAAGAACATGATGGCCGCGTGTGACCCTCGCCATGGAAGATACTTGACAGTGGCAGCAGTGTTCAGAGGCCGAATGTCTATGAAAGAGGTTGATGAACAAATGATGAACATTCAGAATAAGAACTCGTCGTACTTCGTGGAATGGATTCCCAACAATGTAAAGACTGCAGTCTGTGATATCCCGCCTCGAGGCTTGAAGATGTCGGCCACATTTATTGGAAACTCTACTGCTATCCAGGAACTGTTCAAACGCATTTCTGAACAATTCACTGCCATGTTCAGACGTAAAGCTTTTCTGCACTGGTACACTGGCGAGGGAATGGATGAGATGGAGTTTACTGAAGCCGAAAGTAACATGAATGATCTGGTCTCTGAATATCAGCAGTACCAGGACGCCACCGCTGAGGAAGAGGGTGAATTCGACGAGGAAGAAGAGGGAGGTGACGAAGGAGACTAGACTATTATATTTTTATTAAGATTTTCATTACTATATTGTTTATTTTTATACTTTATCGTTTTATTATATTTTGTGGATAGTCGACTGGTTTTTATATTGTTGGTAGTATACAGAAATATCGCCGTAAATTTCGACAGTACCTACTTATTACTAAGGGTCTCTTTCACCACTAGTTTTAAGTAGGCTAATCGGAAGTTGGTCACCGGTAATAGAACGCACCGATCTCGACAAAATTAGACCCACTGACCCATTGACCAGTCGCATGATGAGACAGGTGATTATATTCCCTTAGTCCCATGAGAACTAATACCCATACATTTTTTTAATTATGCACCATGAGTTCCATAGGAAAGCGAAAGTACCTACAGTTCAAATGTTATAGAAGAAACACAACAAAACAATCTCCTTTAATAAAAACTTTGACGACAGCGATACTAGTACTTTCTCACTGGTTGTTCATGCTTGAGGTACAGTACCCTTAGCACGAACTAATATCGAATTGGTATCGTTTGCAAGTGCGAAATGTCATTATCAAATGTGTACTGTACCCCTAGCTTGAACCATTATCGAATTCGAATAGTTTGCAAACCGAAATGTCAATGGCAAATGTGTACTGATTTTTAGTTCTCGTTACGTACTTTGTGCCGCTGCTGTTCAAGTTTCCATACAAAATTTCACATTGACATTTCGGTTTGCAAACTATTCGAATTCGATAATGGTTCGTGCTAGGGGTAACTGATTTTTAGTTCTCGTTACGTCCGTTATGGCCCTGCTGTTCAAGTTTCCATACAAAATTTGACATTGACATTTCGCACTCGCAAACTATTCGATTATGATATTGGTTCGTGCATCATCATTATTACATTATTACTAAGTACTACGGCCCTAAGAAATTCCTACGCTTATTGCTCCAAGGTCGCTATCAGTACATTCCGAGTCCTATTTTATGAATACATTAAAATTGCTTTAAAGTATTTTATTAATGGAAAGCTGCGGCTTATTCAATTTGTTGCAATTGGCGCCACTATAGTTTAATTAGCACGCCACGTTCAGCGTTCTTGCCATGTCGTTTGCATTGACCACAGCGGTGTCCATCGAAATATTTAATCATAACACCATTTTATTCGCCTTAAATAGGTCATTGTGTGAAACGGAGAAAGATTTTAAACAAAGTAGAAGGGTAACTATTTTGAAATTTGTGTATATTTCGTTTCCTATTGTAATGACGTTTTGTGGAGCGCTAAGTGTGACGATAATGCCACCGCCTTCTGTACCGCAAGCGCGAACGACTGGCGAGAACGTATTCATATCGTCATGTGAAATTTTGTATGGAAATGTTCTTACGTCCGCTAGGGGCGCTGCTCAGTTTCCGAAGAAATTTTGACGTTGGCAGTACTACCATCATCATCATTATCAGCCGATGGACGTCCACTGCTGGACATAGGCCTCCTCAAGGTATTTCCATATGAAACGATCCTGCGCTCTCCGCATCCAGTGGGCTAGTAAGTTGTAAGTAGTACTTAGTAAGGCCTACCCGCATGCCCAGCGTGGCCATTTGTTGGGCAAACACCTATCGAACCGACATATAAGAAACTACTACACTTACTAAAAAATACGGATTCGGTACCCCTAGCACGAACCATTATCGAATTCGAATAGTTTGCGAGTGCGAAATGTCAATGGCAAATTTTGTATGGAAACTTGAATAGCAGAGCCACAAAGTAAGTAACGAGAACTAAAAATAAGTACACATTTGACAATGACATTTCGTACTCGCAACGTTACGAATTCGATATTGGTTCGTTCTAAGAGTTACTGTAAATAGAACAATAAGGTTTAAGATTAATTTAGTGTCACAATGAAACTGAAACACTACTTCTAGTCTTTTTTAAATAGCGATAAAGAAATAGTCTCCAGTTATACCGCCTTAATATAACACGACAGCCCTACTCCATTAACGACATCGCAGCTAATAGTGTTATTACCCTGCTATATTAAGATGGTAGGTTTGCGAACTGATCTCAACCTAGGTAGTTGCTGCTTGACGACTTTAATCCCTTGTGATAAGGTTCAATTTACAGGAGCGAATATCCACTTAGTAATCGATACTCGCGGCTGCAATGCTATTTTAGATCCAACGAAGGTTCCCAATTACAATGATCTATATTTTAACTATTCATCTGTGTATTTTAGAAGATTTGATGGCATACTCTTAGAATAAGTGAAAAAAATAAGTGTATTGAATGAAAAATATTTATATGGGATTCAGGCCTGCTTACTTTGAAAAAAGAGTTTTTTTAATGTTCAATTTATAAATCAACTAATGATATTATATAAAACTAGCAAACCAGTGAACCAAATGTTCACCAATTGAAAAAAAAAGAAAAAATAAAGTATTTAATTAATTGAGAACTTCGGAGATTTTGTGTGGTTTCGTTTGAAATTCGTGATTTCTCGAAAACTGGAAGTGCTACGTTACTCAAATCCGGTTTGTAGTGTTATCAGACTATTCTTAACTTATAACTTAAATATTCTCTTTATCTATCTCTTACGGTTTGCCCGCTGAAACAGCACCACAGACAGACGGACGGACGGACGGAGGGACTTGTCTAATAGATAAGAGATACCAACAAGATTTGCATCAGAGTATTTAGGTATGTACCAATAAATTCTGAACGAAAATATCGAAACAAACCAAGTAGTTATAGTTATTTATGATATTAGTGCGGTATGTTGGTTATTACAAACGAATAGACCAATAAATACCAATCCACAGCACATTTGCACAAACTATTTTTTTCTAACAATAAAATGGCGCCACGTGCGGGTAGTAAAAACAAGAACTACATCGCGTACTAAAGTGAGACAAAGGAATAGATTAAAAGCGCTTCCAAGGAGGTTCGACAAAAAAATTTAAAACCGTAAAAAATACGCACGGCGTCGTATATTTTTTTTTATAGCTAAGTCCGACAAATGACTCCACCCCATCTGATTTTAAGTGAAGGTGAAGTCCAGACGCGAAGATAGCTGATACAGCAGGTCTAACTGCCACACCAGCCATCCTCACCCTGCCGGCCTGCATGTTGCTTCTTCACGCCTCTTTTAAAGGATCCCCGGTTGTAAGAGGGAGGTTAGTGAAGCATGTGAGCATTTACAGCACTCTCCGTTGTATAGCCCGTAATTTTGAACTTTCTAACGATGTATACAACCTCCGTAAATGCATTTCTGTAGCTTTGTTGAAAAAGTTATATAAAACAAAAGGCGATGTTAAAATAAAACCATCTTTTCCAGTGTAAACAACCAATATAATAGGGAAGATGCATATATTATATTTATGAAAATTTTATGATTAAAATGTTAAAAAAATATAAAAGAAATGTCACTGCAACGTTTTTATTTTACATAATGTTGTTTTTTAACAATTATTACGAATTAAAAATACTTGAAACGGAACGTATTTTAAAACACCAATCAGCGTTTAGTGACGTCACTCCTGTTATGACAACTTCTTTGAGGTTATGGTTGTTAAAGTAAATATTATTTTATGGGAATATTTATTGCGTTTTTTTACATTTAATAAAAATGGAAGTTGCGTTTATCAAAGCAGACTCCAGGAATTTACCAAGAGTTAGCGTTGACATGGTTACAACTTTTTTTGTCCAAAGTGCAGAGTTTTTAAGTGTAGAAATGAAAGGGACTAAATTACTACGGTATGTAAAAATCGTAGTTGTTAAACTTCGTATTTTATTCAGCGGCTTCTACAAATCTTACGGCGATAATGCAATCGGCTATGTCCAAATTAAAAGAGATGGAGAATTATGTACAGTAAAAGGTCGAGTTCTCCGGAGCATAAAGTTCGTAAAGAAGGTTATCTTGTTACAGTTGTTTTAAATGAAACGCAAAGCTTGGTTCAGTCCTGCCAATGTGGAGGTTGTGCCACACATTTTTAACTTTATCTAATTTTCGACGTCATTCTCCAACTGTAAAATTAAAAATATGTTATAGACAGGTTTTGTAAGTATTAGGTAGGTTACTAATGCGTTTTTACGTACAAGCAGATTAATTAAGCATATAACAAGTATATTCGCCGCCTTACGTCAAAGTGATCTTCTCAGCATCGAATAATGGTCTTTGGAGAATAATTGTCATTTCTCTTCGCAGCTTGAAACCACTTTTTTTTTCAGTTTTGGGTCAGAAGTTCCAGTGAAAAACAATTTATTTGGGAACTTTGTTGAAGTAGATTGGCACAAAACATGAGTCACACGATGTTGATGGATAGTTCATTTTAAATTTTTCAAAAAAATATTTCGAAAGTCGAAAAAATATGCAAAAGTATGAAAATTTAAAGCCAGCAACGAACAAGTACGACCAGTGACAGACAGGAGTGACGCCATCGCAACCATAGGTTCGTTTTCGCGCGAAAATTTAAATTATCAATTTAAAACCGCCTTTTTTCCGATAAATCACAATATTTTAATTTTTTAATATATCTGTGGTTTATTCTACATGGAATTCTTTAGAATGAAAACAAAAATAAAAATATTGCATCTTCCCTATTAAGTATTATATTATAAAGTTACTGTCGACGAAATTACATAAAATTGATTATTAGTACAAGTACAACTGGAGCAGCAGTTTTATTATAGAAATAACCTTTAATTGGAGTATTTGAACTCCTACAAATATACTCGAGTTTCGTTGTCGTACTAATAAAAGTTAAAATTAGTCTATTTTTAACCGCATGGAGACAACACAGTCATTTTTTTATGTTAAAACTGTAGCAATCAAGCATATGACCACTTATTTATTTATAAAAAAAAAGGCAAGGAAGAATCGTTTTCCAAATGTGGTATTCGGAAGTAACGAAAATTCCGGTAATGTTATTTTACTGTGGTATTCTATAAGATGGGCGCTCCAATACGGGCGGGAAATCTGCTATATCCCTTTCTTACTCTTCCATTGTGAAAATAGCCAAGTCTCAAACTTAATGAACGCTTTAATTATATTCTCTCCGTTAATTTGGAAACTAAATTATCCAATTTATCTCATAGATTGCTTTATTTATAAGTGAATTTTGTTACTCAATTTTATCTTTACTTCTTTTTATTGCGGGCTAGACGAAAATCAAAGTTAATTTGAGCTGTCTACGGACAAGTTAAGCCTCATTAATTATGTAGAGAGGAAAATTTTATTTTCATTATTAAAGAACTCCTTTAAAGATGGAGTACAAATGAAAAAAAATATGTGATTTTGTCTTGCAGGTACCTGTAATATGTGACTCTGGCTTATAAAAAAGTCCTTCCTCGGGTGGGAATCGACCCCGGACTGCCCGGGTGGCAGGCGAGCTTTCTACCACTGAACCTCTGATGCTTGTTAATAATTTGTGATTGATTTAATAACAATGACAATGTAACGCGAAATGCTAAAGATGAGCGAAAAAAATTGTGGCGATCTCATAAAAGTTTCATCTTTACCGCAAGCGTATATCGGTTTTTTTTTCTCACATATGCACACAAATAAACATACACACACAAACACATACACACTCACACATACACACGCGCACATTAACCAATAACGTTTTGTAATCATCCGGTGTCTCGAATCGAACCACTGCCTTTCATAATGGTCTTACCTAGCATGAGAGTCAGGAGCCTACTTATAAGATTAAAAGATAGCAAATCATTCCTAGTTTATATATTTTATTGTTGTAGTATTTGTAAGGTTTGATGAATAAACATTATAATTATTATTATTTATATTGTTCTGTGACTGTTTTCGTTTTACACAGAAATTTCGATAAATATCCCGTAATGAGAGAGACACGATATGAGAGAGGTTGCTCGGTATTTATACAAATAAACATTTAATATTTTATCCGAATAACCATTCTTCCTTGAGCTTTTCACTCTGTTGTATATCGGCTATGGTGGCCGCTTACCATCAGGCGGTTATGTTTACCATCCTTTCAACATAAAAAAACCGCCCGTTCAGCATTAGTGTTGCCGCACACGGGTCACACGCCACAGCCACAAACGCTGCCAAGAGAAGCTAGAAGCGGCTACTAAAGTGGCAGAAGCGCGCGAGTGACGTGTGGCGCCGTTTTGTATCGGCGCATTAAGTGGCCGGTGCGGGCCACAGGAAGCGAGCAACGACGATTTGTAGCTTGTGGCGGCCACCGGCGTACCGTGTGTGGCGAGTCCATATAAAATGTATAAAAACTACAAGAAATATCCCGGTGGCGGCGTTTTGTGGTTGTGGTCGGTGGCCCGTGTGCAGCGACACTTAGGTACTTGAAAGAAAAAAGGTCAAATCACAACTTTAATAAATTTGTTCAGAACTATTTAGTCACACGCCTGTCTTGTCCCCAGGGCCCGGCATAAAGGGTACCATGGCCATCCTGAATTGCCTCCTCGCCCGCCAACTCTGCTTTGAAGACGCATCCTGCTCCGCCATCTTGGAAATCATCCCGCGCGTATGTGGCTCTGAACTCGGTAAGTAATACACACATAAAATTATTATCTTTATAATGTTTCTAACGGAACCGATATATCGTCGTGGTCAAACCAATATTTGCTATGTGCAAAAAATAAAACTAATACAGCAGTTAATATTTGACAACATTCTGGCTGATGAAAATAGCATATTTTTAAGCAACCACTGCTCACCACTATAATGCAAAAGAATCGCATAGTAGTTGTCCATACATTCAAAAATCAGATAGTATACTAGAATAAACTAGTCATAATGATAGTAATGTTAAAACTCTAAAACTGCACATAGCAAATATTGGTTTGACGACGACGATATAAAAAATTGGCACCCGATTTCAGCGCCTTCTGTTAAAAATAAAGATATAAGTCCAAAATCAGCCGAGAACTTTGACCTCTAACAGTTAAGCGATATAATACCTACATTTTGATCACCCATCCAATGATCGACCAAAACAAATGTTGCGACTTTCACAATCACAGACCGAATGTGCTACTATGACAAAAAACTTACAAATATCTTTTTCTTATAGCTGGATACTTATTTCACTGCGATGAACTTAATACAAAGGATGACGTAGTAATTTCATTTTGAGATTAATATATTAAGAAAATAGCGTTTGAATGGATTTCCGAAAATACTACCACTATATTCTTCATTTTTATTATAGTTCTCATGATTATTATGATCTACATAATTTTATCTAGTGAAATTTAAAACATCTACGCTTTCTATTTTTAGCATCGCGACGAAATCACCTTAACCTGTCTCGACGAAACCACATTTAGCTGTAAATGTTTTGTTTGTGTATAGTACGTATAACGTACTCGTATTATGAGTAAAAGCTTTGCCAGTTTTCTCAGAAAATCGCGCTCTCATTACCATGTAAAGTTTGTGTAACTCCAAAGACCGTTTTGTTAGGAAAATGTGAAACCAAAGGGCGTCTTTTGTTGGGAAACTGGCATTATGCATGAAGATACATGCTAGGATAAACCACGGCATCCTCTCTGAACGCTTGAATGAGAGCAATAACACCGACGCGTAATAAAGAATTTCATATAATTTAACCTATATATGCATGTAAGCAATTATCTGAGTGCTTCTACTGTCTAAATTATGAGAGCACAATGCCAGTGAAATTTTCAAAATAATTAACAAAAAAGTCCTGTCTCGGCTAGGAATCGAACCCAAGCTGCTCATGTAGCAGGCGAGCTGAATTTCTACCACTGAGCCACCGATGATTGTTGGTCCGATTGTTTCTAATAACAATTAAAAATATGTATATAACAAGTTTATTTAGCGATGATATAAAACTTTCTCTTTAAAACCTAAAAATAAATAATAAATAATCCATAAGTTACAGCCTATTAAGTAATTTTTTTATTTTTTTTTACATTCAGACAGAAAGCACCAGTTATAGAGAATTACAAAAACTTACTGAATATTAAGAATATTTTGAAAGAAAGAAAGAAAAGAAAAAAAAAATCCTAGAAAATATCCACGTGGACCAGACAGCAGACGGGACTCAAACCCGCACTCTGCGCTATTTAGGCGAATGACTATGCTACCACGGCCTCAATGAAGGTCCACGTGGACCAGGCAGCAAACGGGACTCGAACCCGCACCCTCCACTATCCGGGCGGATGCACACCGGATACATACGCTATTAGGGCCGCGCCTTAAAATAAAGCTAACTTTTTTCTTATGTCAATCAACCCAAAATTATCAACAAAGATGAAGTTTGGACATTCACGTCATTTCTAAGTAAAAGTTGTGCCAAGACGTGACGACTAATGCGGCTTTTCAAATCAATTTATCTCTGTGATGTTTGGATTATGTGGATAAAGAAAAAATACGTATCTAATACTTTGAGATAATACACCTGCTGCCTCAATTACATTTGGTCACTAACCGGTATTCGGGTTCACAAATGACATTACTCGAATTCAGCAATATTTACACTAACATACGGGCTGGAAGTCGAAGTCGGGTAACAAAAATAAAAACTACCCGAATGCGGGCGTACTCGACGCTGTTCATATTCACTGAATCGTTTACCCGAATTCCATTGGCATTCGTATTCGGGCTGACTACCGAATGTGATCGCGCCGTAATAGACGAAGAAAAAAAGTCAGTCAATCATATTATCGTCTACAATCACATTCTGCGCGGTGTAAACGAGGAAGCTTTTGACCTTTCTCGCTATGAAACGCGCGAATAAAACATCAGAAGCCGCTGAGCGAAGCGTCATCAAATAATAAACGGAGATGTATATGGCGTACGTGTCACTCCCTCATTCGGTGCGTTTAACTGAACTTAAAGATAATGGCATCGTAAACGTAGTGGAACCAAATTTTTCAAACATTTAGGTAGGCAACGCTTAAGGGATGGGTTTTGACGGCTGCTTATAATCAGGCGGGCTATAATGCTTGCTTGGCATAAAAAACTGGATAAGTGCGAAACGGACTCGCCCACCGAAGGTCCTGTACGTAGGTATGTAACGTCATTCGTCATCGTTCGTGTTCATCGTTTTTGACGTGACAACGTCTTATAATTCAATGGAGCCGGCTGCACGCACGAAAAAACATGACTCATGCTCATGCGGCCGTTACCTTGCTCTGAGGCGTTCCATTTAAGGCATGAAGTGCAAGCGAGAGTGCGCAACGAGCGACAAAGAGGCACAATCGGCCTCCGCGTTCGGCAGCGTTCGACATCTGTCTCTCTCCTACTTGAGCGAGCGATGCGTCCGCGTGGACAGCTGCTATACAATAATGCATTTACATGTTTTCGTCAAGTTTGAAGTGCAGTAAAAGTGAATGTGATGTCAATTGTATATAGCAACGATAATTGCGGCGATAAAGATAATGATTCTTTCGATATTAAATATATGTTCAGTGATATATTGCCGAATATTCGTGCTTTCATCATTAAAATAAATAGCATCGGTCCGCTAGTGCAGCGATTGTAGATTATGCTATAATTGACAAAACTGTAACAATAAGTTAACAGAACTATTTCGTGACATTTAATTAATATTGAATTGAATTGAATATACAAGTTGTTTGACGACCTCCGTGGCCGGGTGGTTTATACGCCGAGTTTCATGGTGTCGCCGACTCGAGAGGTCCCGGGTTCGAATCCCGGTGGGGGCAGATGTTTGTGTTATGAATACGAGCATTTGTACTCCAGTCATGGATGTTTTATATGTATTTCTATATAAATATACTTATATATGTACAATATATGTATTCTATCCGTTACCCTAGTATCCCATAACACAAGCCTTACAGTGCTTACTTTGGGGCTAGGCTAATTGGTGTGAGTGTTGGAAATATTTATTATTATTTATTAATAGAACTATGTACATTGTAAAACATTGTAGTCCGCCTTTTGGACCAATATATTGTGATCAATAAGGTTTGATAGATAAAAAAATAAAAAAACGACCTTATCTTTTTTCACGTTAACTTAGAAGTTCGTTTTTTACAACTTCAAGGGACCGTAAACTAGAAGAGTATATGGATTAAATTTCAAGTTTACCGCCAATTTACCTCCACGCGTTCCCAAAAAAATGGTTCTTATAGACAGACGGACAGGGTGATCCAATAAGAGTTCCCTTCTACCTTTTGAGATACGAAGCCCTAAAAATCAAAGGATATTCTATAGGGATGCTACATACTTTATTCAAGTCTGATATTGTTTATGCAAGTCTAACACAAAGGCCTTGTTAAAGTCAAATGCTATATCATTGATTTGTTTATCTACAGCAGGTGGAGCATATATTTAATTTTTCGGATTGAATTGGAGCTCCCGTATAAGGTGCCTCCAACTTAGGAAAACCACAGATCTTTGGATGGCGTTGTGTTTCTGTCGGTGTATAAAGTTCAAGGATTCCACGGGGTTTGCAGGTGGGGGGTTACGGTAGAAAGCGCGCGAAGGATAATGTAAGGTATCTTAAGGCTATAGGCATTTGTTTTTTATAACACGCAATAAATTTCCCCACTACACATGCTGTTCAATGTAAGTGGAGTCCAGATGCGAAGATAGATGATGCGAAAGAATTTTAAGGCTTAAGGTTTCAGAGCTTCGTCAAACTAGTCCTTTTTAGTTATATTTTTCGATTTTTTAAGCATTTAACTGCTAGATGTTTAAATCTAAAGAAAATTTTACTAGAAAAAACTCCACGCAGACCAGGCAGCAGACGGGATCCCAAACCCGCAACCTTCGCCATTCGGGCGAATGCACCGCCCATTATCGTGTCGAATTTCACTAGCCCCAGGCTGCAAGGCAGCGCCATCTCTTCGCATTTTAGTTAAACCACTATGTCAAATGAACACCTTTACAAGTATTTAACATTTGAAAGAAGAAATAGCAATTATAATTATATTTTTGGATTTTTAAGCATTTAACTGCTAGTAGATGTTAAAATGTAAAGAAAATTTTACTAGAAAAAACTCCACGCGGACCAGCCAGCAGACGGGACCCGAACCCGCTCCCTTCGCCATCCGGACGAATAATGCACCGACCGCAATCGCGGCCCTGACGGCCATGTCGAATTTTCTCCATGAAGGTATAAGAATAGAGCGGGAAAGGCGGCTCTAAAAGTGTCCGTCTAGTAGAAAGAGAAAGAAGATGAGACAAGGCTAGCCTTTCTCTCTCTAATCGCGAATGCGCATTGGATGAAAAACCAACGGATGAATCACACGACTGCGCAGCGTCACAACAGAGAGAGATAGCTAGCCCTCTTATCTTCTTTCTCTATCTACTAAACGAACACTTCCACTTGTAGTAGAGTACATATCTCCCCAACTCTATTCTTATACCTCTATGACAGAAACACAGCACCATCAAAACGTATTATTATTTGGATATGGTCTTATACGTGAGGCTTACTTACTCAGACTGGCGCTCTAATTCATACCGTTAAACACTCTTAAAACTCTATTATAAGTATAACCTTTTCAAGAAACCATATTCCAACAAAAGAACTAATCTATCATCG